ACTTCTGAAACATTTATCAAAACCGTTGCCTTAAAGAACTGCGTCCAAAAAGCTACCCAGATGACTCCAGATTAGTCCGAAACATTTAGGTTTGCAGTTTCCCAGTATTTTAAATGTATCTGCTTTGAATCCCTTTTAATTTTCCAGTATTTTCCTTTTTAATCCTGCAGCGGAAATTGTGTATGCTGCAAATGAAACGTTTTGACCTGTGTACAGATCAGGATCAGAATTACCACTAAAATTTGGCCAAACCTACCATTTTTCTTGATTTTATTAGTATTAGTAGAAATGGTCTTTTCACACCTTTTAGTTTTTACCACTTTTGATTTAGAGGATGTGGCTCTGGAAAAACTACAAAATTTTGATTTCAGGGAAACAACAGAACAACACTTTTCCTGCATTTTAGATGCGTCTTAAACACAGCAAATGTGTCGCAAAATGTGTAGGTATGTTTCAAACCCAAACCCTAACCCTGGGTCTAGCATTTATAGATTATATTGTACGTATATCTTAATTGCAGGTTTAACTGACATTCACCCTTGTTTATATGTTACAATTTACAATTGTATAGTCTGAATTAAAGTTAAAGTGAAAACAGTTTTATGCATTACTAGTGATATTATTGACAAAGGTGCAAAAACCTTTGTAAAGAGATACACCAAGGAAGATATTAAAGTGTAAGAAGACCTTATAAATAACAAACAACAAAACATAATTTCACAAGATAAACAAAATGTTTTATTGTATATAGAAAAAATATTTCAGAAAAAAAATGTTGGAAGACAATGGATAATTTCATACATTTTTTAAAATATATGATATGAAAAAATGTTATATAGAAGGGACATTTTTTAAAACACTTTTTAAATATCATAAAGCAGATCCACCAAGGATATTTGCATTAACCTCTGCCCTCCAACATGGTACCAAAATTCCCTTTAATATTTTTGTATAAAATATTAAATTAATACAATATATGTAGTCTTCAGGTAAAGTTCACTGGTTCAGCACTCAGCAAAGTTTTGTGGCATCTTGGACTTTTGACTAAATCCAAAAAATGCTATTCATTCTGTAATTGTCATGCTGTATAAATGAGCAAATTGGTATGCAAGATGAAATTACTTAAAAGCTTTTGTTGTTTCAAGCTATCTCTTTATTTATTCACGGGACAATGCACTGTTGCTGGATATAGGATTATAGCTTTGAGGACCCAGATATTTAATTGTCTCTTACTCAAAAACACGAGCTTGAGGGCACCAGACCTAAAAGTGTCTCTTTGGCAATTAGTATAAAATGCACTCAGTGTTTTATCACTTCATGAATCATACTTTAAATGTTTTGAGGTGTTCCATTCAGTTTCATGCTTTAGCATTGTCTGTGTGATCAGTTTGGGTCCTGCAAAGAAGAAAACTACTGTACAAAGTACAAAGTTAGGTAATATGGTTCATTCTTCAGGTTAAGAAGACCCTGCTCCCGTGTAATTTCCCATAAACTATCCACATGTGGGAATATTATTCAGTACATTTAGCTGAAATACTTATGCTTCACATTATATTTGACCATTTTTTACCCAAGTAATATAAAACTGATTAAGCAATTATAATGGAGGACAATAAACTATATACTGTACAGTGGGCACATTTTCCTTTGGAAGTCCTACTATCCCCCATTTTGTTCAGGTACAGAAAATCATGTTTATTGATCAAATGAATCATTTTTTTTCAATCCATACGTCTCATAGTAATTTTGATTTAAAAAACATACTCAATTGCTTGCTGAGTTTCAAACCTGTCCCAGGATGTCTGCAGAAGCGTAACCATATTAAATAAGAAATGCCATTTTAAAATTAATTAATTTTAATTTTTTAAGTTCTGTTTTCTTTGGGCTGTAGCCTATCTAGACTCGATCATTTCTCAAATTACATTTAAGCAGCGAATTGATATTAAAAGCAATCATTTCAATCAATAATATAGCAGATACAGTACTTTCTTCTTTTATTCCAGCATTTACTATTGGAGAGCAAACAAACAGGTGCCGATATAATTCTATATTGTTTTAAAATTAATGTAGAATTATAAAATTGAAACAGGACATTGGAGATAAGAAATGCTTGGAAAATGTACAGTACATGGTAACTTCACAGACTGCTCTTGAAGAACCTTTGCCTCCTAGAATATAACACAAATAACATGGTATTTGTAAACAGTGCTAATTCTAAAATACACTTGTGTATTGGCATGATGTGCAGAAGAGCTTTTATACATAGTACATAGTTATTTTATTCCAGGTTTGTACAATTTATGTGAATTTCTAAATTATAGACTAAATAGCATGTTTATTGATTATAAGACCTGGATGTTTCTTCTACATGTCATGTTTATCCTGACCTACCTTGAAAAACTAGAACAGAAAGTTTTATGTCTGCAATTTGTACCTGTGAAACATGGCATATTTTGAATTTGTTGAGGTAATCTCAAGTGTGGAAATACCATGGAGGAAAATGGAAAATGCCAAGATTTTTTTTGTTATTATAATTTAAGAACATTATGTTTTGCATTCTCATTGATTTTTTCAAATCATTTTAAATTTGGTTTTGATAAATTACCAATAATTAAACAGTTCTAATTACGGTCACACCATTGTCCGATATTTGATACGGGTTAGGTAGGGCCCTGCGAAAGACACATTTAACTATGACAATGATGAGCTGACAGGATGCCAAGTTAGAGTAGGCTGAATCCTGCCAGGCTATCCGTATGATTTGGCAAGTCTTTGCAGCATTGTAGTGACATCAGTAAGACTTGCATCATGCCTCCAGTTGATGCCAACTCTAGGTTGGGCATTTTGGGACTACTGGAGTGAAGAATACTATATAACTCTGACAATGTATGATTCGGAGGAAAATATACATGGTCCTCTTCCCTTTAATGGTAGTTCGAGTGTCACAGTAGTATAGCCAAGTTGATTAAAAATCAGATATTTCCAAATGTGTAAATTAAAGCTACACATAGGAAATACACAGTGTATTACATACATTATTCTTACAGTCTTAGCCAAGATTTGTGTTTGTAAGAGTTACCTTAATATTGTCCTGAGGGGGACCTGCAGTGAGGGGAAGATTTTGGCGAGACAGAACGTCGCTGGAGGACGTCATCAATCTCAGATTCAGTAGCTCCCTGCAAGAATACCTCAGAATTGAGATTTACTGAACCTGAAATGCACCTTAGTTTTATACATGGTTAAACTGTACAGTACAGTATATATACAGTGGATATACAGTACAGGTATATAATCATGATCCTCTTGAAACTGTGGCAGGAATTATACATTGTGCTACATCAAAACTGTGGCGCATCAACATTTGGGACAGTTATTTTTTTTCCTAATTACATAATTACCCCTATAGATTTGTGTATTTCTCAGCATTTGGGGTAGCTACTGTATGGTGAAGGGCAAAGGCAAAATAGCCCTTGATAATCTCTATTCTGAACTGCCTGTACTTTCCCAAATCACAGATTGTACCTGTAATGATCCCCTCTATTTACTAGAAATTCATTCTTTTTGAATTATTATTGATACAAAATGCAAAATTACAGATTAAAATAATTAATGTTATTGAATGTACTAAGCATTTCAGAAATCAAAGTTCATTCCACATTCAGTTCAAGTCGTTTACACCCATGAAAACTACATTGATTGGAATTTGCCCCAGTGCAGCCCAGAAAAAAAACCCAACAACAAAATACATACATTATTACACTTACTGTACACATACATAGTACATATTATTCAATAAAAGGTCTATTCCAATTAAATAACGTATATACTGTATATATTTGTTCCCACATGATACTTGCAACATCCAAAGTCTATATATGGAGATGCCCAATGTCTTCTAGATAGATGCTATTTCAGAACTGAGCAGAACTACTTTTGATACTTTGAAATTTCCTCCCCCAAGGGAGGAACATTTGAATCCATTTAGGACCTGGAACTGGAGCATCCATTTAGGCTACCTGTGGCAGCCACATCATTAACTGAATATAGAGGGAACTTTAAGGGAGCTTTAGGTTCAACAAACCGTACTCTTATGAACAGTGCTATGGTTATAATCCAGGGTAATGTCTCATGTGAAGGATGATACCCCCTACATGTCTCCATGCTGGGGTCCAACAAGAAGAGTACCAGGCACAGGTCCTCCAATACCACTAACAGCGCCTGGTTGTCTATGAAACAGGCTGTGTTTGAACCTGCTGTTCAACATGCTTGTCTCTCCTGTCCACAAAATAATCAGGCCCAGCCTTGGTTTGCTTCTGAGATCATCTAGAGGGTGGTGAGATGACTTGTCTTGTCATGTCTTGACAAGGTTTATAGTACATTATATTCCAAGACTTAATATGCTGCATAAAAGCATGTTTTTTCAAGAATAGTCTATAGCGCAAAGGGCTATTCTACTCATAAAAAGATGCAACGGTCTAATTCTGTGATGGATAATTTGAATCAACTCACAGACATCAGTCTTTGCTTTGTGTCAGCCACCTTCCAATTTAAAGATGCTTAGTAAACAGGAAATCTGCTTCGTATTAGATGTTTGACTGAAGTTTTCTTTACTGACAACAGTTAGGACAAATGGCACAATAAAATGATTGATAGCCAAATAGCTCATTGAAGTTTTGTAGATTTACAGTAGTTAAACCTATATTTTTAACACGTTTTTGGAAACACCCACCCTACTATACTGTACATGGATTCTGATAAAAAGTCTTTATCCCGTTTTCAAATGAGTGCTAATCGCACTGTAATTGTATGTAGAAACGTTAACACTGTAACGGACAGTACATAAAACCATTATTGTGTTTCTTGAATAGTATATTTTATTTTTTTGTTTCCATTACAACTTTTTTTTATCAATCTCTACGATTTGGACAGCATACCTACTTAATAACAGTTTAACCATAGCAATGTATTGAGTAAGATTTGATATCAACCTATTTTGTTTAAAAGTGATTTCAAAAGGTTCTTGAGAAAGAAAACAAAATGATAATGGTAGAAAAATATTGCCATGTTTGACTGATTTAAAAGTGGAACACAGGTTAATATTAAATGGCTTATTGTGCCATATTATATGAAAACAGAAGACAATGGTAAATTCTAATTCCTTACGTTTATACAGTACATAATTTACAGTATACTATAGCATTTTATGTCTTGAAAGATACCAAAGTAATTTACCTATATTTCATAAATTAAACTTTTAATTTAAGGTGGTTGAGGGTGTAGTTAATTGTTCATAGCCTAATACAGCAGACTTCTGATCTATAATGGCCCCCTGAAGACAATAAAAATTAAATAGATGGAGAGTGGGTAACAAAATGATCATTTTATATTTAAGTAATAATGAGAGAGAGATTACTGGGCAGTACATAGAAAATGACAAAGAGAAACCATCACATAAAAGACATGTTGCCGTTTTTGAGGAATTGTAACAGCTTTATCCAGTGAACTGCCCTTTTGCACTATTATATAAAAGATAAGCTTTTTTGTTGCATACGTCTATGCTTCTTACGTCTGGCTAAAGTGTTTTCTGGCTTGTTACAAATCCCTCTTTTCTTAGCTAATGGCTAAGTAATCACAGTTCAATTTAGTCTTTTGTCTTCTAACTCTACCCCCCTTACTCAGCTTGTTTTCTGGGTTTCTGCCTCCTCTGACTCAGAAGTCAGCAGCCACTGCTGCAAAGTGTAATCAGATCATTTGGAGCATAAAATAATTGCTTGCTTAAGCTGAATGAGTAGGAACTGTATCAAACAGAACTGTTTTTGGCAGAGACATCCAATGAAAAATATATCTACCTATAAATATACAGACGAATGGATTTAATAAAATAGCAATGGACTGTAAGAATAAATTGAGTCGCATATGCTAAGCAGGGAATTATTAAACAGCTGGGGATCAAGGTGCCTTGGTGCTTCTTCCCTTAAAGAATAGATAGAGTGATTTTTTTTTAGAAAACTAAAATGGTTCAGGAGCTCCAGCTTCACCACTACTTGTATATAATGGCAAACTACATGTAATCAGATTAGGATCCAGTGAGTTATAACAGATGCTATGAGATTTTGAAAATTTAAGTAAAAAATGAACACTTAAACCATACAGCAGCTTTGCCAAATTAAAAACAAATGATGTTCCTGCCTGATGACTCAGTAAAACCAAAGTAGCTATAGCACAGTAGCAACGAGAGAAGCTCTTTTTGTGAAGCAGAGGATATAAAATTCACCATGGCAAATGACATAACCCTAAGCTACCACAGTAACTGTGTAATGAAGGAATGAAATTAAATTATCGTGTGAAAGAAATAAAATGGACTGTTTTAGGAATATTCCCATCTGGAGTATTCAAAAAAATGCTCTTGACTAAGGAAGATTTAATCCTTGCTGAATTGAGAAACTTCCTGAGAGTCCACTTAAAGAGGATAAACTACAAAGAACTCTTTCAAGAGTTGTCCAACGCAAAGCAATGCAAAAATGAGACTCCACGTTTCACGTCAGTTTGTCTTAAAATCACTGCTAAATTTAAAGGTGTGAAAGAATGTGGTGAAAGATTATAGAGGGAATATATTTTGGGCAAAGAGTTTTGATTAGCCTCTACCAATTATAACCCTTCGTGCTAAAATTGGTAGTTTCCTCTGTCCTGCTTCCAAGAGGAAACTACGTTTTTAGACAGGCAAAGGGAAAGGTGATTAACTCATTTCCTGTATAATTACGCTCAGCTGTTAGTGTTAAGCTTGCCTCTTAGGGTATAAAAGGACACTGTACAGCACTGCACAGCTCTTTATGTTTTATTTGACGGACCTGTGAACCACTGAAGTGTTGCTTGCTGAAAGAGAACAAAATGAGAATGGGATAAGAAAGTCAACTTGGGAAAACTGTGATGCACTTTGGCTATTGGTAAAAGGATGGAAAACAATTTTTAACTTTGCCATCCTATTAGATTGGTTAGGCTAGGGCTCCGGTGATAGAGCTGGGTTTTGCTTGGGTCTGTTAATAGCCTGGAATGAGGAAAGCCTTCAAAGGCTCATTTCCAACTTTATACCAGAGGATGTAAGTAAATGAGTCCACTGAAATGGTGCTTTAGCACCACAAACTGTCATATTGGGAAAAAATGATTTTCCATACTATTTTTGTATTCAAGTCATTATAACAATATTTTCATTATCTTTGTCACTATTCTCTCACAGGGACACCAATCCATGCACAGCTGGAAAGAATAATTCTTTCCTTGGAGCAACGGTCACAACATCCTTGTAAATATGCCTGAAAAAACTTCCCTAGTCCCCAGCATGGCAAATGGCAATAGAGGACTGAAATCCTCTGACAGATCTTGAAATATGAAAACATTGCAAAAAGAAAGCAGGTTGAGGAATTAAATGCCTTCACTGCATTAGGACTGATAATGACCTACAGTATGATGTATCCACAATTTAAAACTGAAAACGTATCTGGAAAATGGTGTACAGTGCTAGAACTACAGTACAGTACATACTTAAAACCATATCACAAAATCTAAAAGTTGTAAGAGAAAAGATGGAAGTGTTTGCCTTGTGTAGCTTACATTAATAAACCATGTTTATTTCCACTGTACTGACTACATTTGTCACACATACTATTGTATAAAAAGGATGGTTTGTACAATAAAGTATGTTTGTTATTCCGATTTCCACGTGACTTATTCAAAGGGTACACCGCAGCTCATATTTAAATGTGATTCAATGATACAAAGTGCTAGTTATGACTAAGGCTGATAACGGTAGATTCTAAAAATGCACTTAAATGTCTTAAATGACACTTTTAAAATGAACTTTTCAAAAATTTCATCAGTGACAAAGTTAATATTTCTAGAGGCATACAAGTCCAAAAGAAGCACACAGACATCATAATCCCTTCTTGAACTTACAAGTATGAGCACCAAAAAAGCCACTGTTATAAAAATTGGGTTTAAATGGTAAACAATTAAACACTTGATGTGCATCTGGTGCTACTCACTAAGGAAAGTCGTTCCCTGGCGCTGACAGATGTTAGCAGACTTCGCACTCGTTCATGGATTGATTCCCAGGTGCTGTGAGAACTGGAATGAAATTTAAATCACAGGAACAGATTGGAATGGATATGAATAATTAGGCCAGAACCAGTAGTCCATGAGCCAGACATGGAAGTCCCTATCTCCCCTAGAGAAATTATGTCATAGTGCTTTTAAGAAGCCTTTTAGCATGCAAACATAAAATTCAGCATGTCATTGGGTAATTGCTGCTTGTGACCAAGAGACAGCTATTTATATTGAAGCTGGATCAAAACCCTACAGAATAGGTCATGTTATTTGCCAAACCGCTTAATACCATACGGTGTCAAAGCCGGAGCCTACCTGGCAAGCAACGAGCGCAAGGCAGGGCACACCGTGGATGGGGCACCAGTCCATCGCAGGGCAAGTGCAAGCCACGGTAAAGGCCAAGGGGGGGAATTTGACCTGGACACCAGGATTACTCGAGAAATGCCCGGGCATCTTTAATGACCACTGAGAGTCAGGACCTCAGTTTAACGTCCCATCCGAAAGATGGTGCCCACTACAGTATAGTGTCACGGTCACTTTAGGACCCACACAGACATCAGGGTGATGGGCTCCCAGTGCTGGTCCCACTAACGCCACTTCCAGAAGCAACCATAGCTTCCCAGGAGGTCCCCCATCCAGGATCTGACCAGGCTCAACCCAGCTTGGCTTCAGTGGGTAGCTAGTTGAGAGCTGCAGGGTGATATGGCTGCTGGCTCTACAACCTTATATGTTCATTCAATATTTGTACTTGAATATATTAACAGTAGCTTTATTTCATTTGAGGTATAATGGTAGATGAACTGCTGAAAAATGAACGTTATGTAGAGGCCAATCCCTGCTGGCTGGAAGATCTCCTGGCTGAAGAAGACAGACAGCTCTGAAGTGGGCAGAATATGTACAATTCCAGTAGCAAGAATAAGTTTGTGGTCAAACTTCTTACTTCAGCTAATCAAAATCTGTTCTATGCCAAAAGGAGATGCGATGAGCCAAGAACTTGACTTTATAAGATTTGCAAAGACATCCCTTAAATTTAAGGTGACAAGCATAACAGATGCCATAGAGTGCTTCCAGACATTCACAAATATTAAAATATATCATAAAGATTAGAAATTACATTACTTTAATTAACATTCTGTTTGTTTGTTTTTTGCTAGTTTCTAAGCAATATATTAAAAGGATGAAGTTGATTATTCAGGATAAATGCAGACAATTTATTGTATATACAGTAAGAAAACAGCTCTGTTATGTTGTTAAACAATGTTTTACTTTAGCTACTTAATTAAAAATAACTTATATGACAAAATCTAAGAAAATAATCATCCATATTATTAAATGAATATACATTTTCTATCATTTATAGCTAAAATCACAAAATGGTCTGAATTTATTGTCTGGATTACATGTTTTATGACTCAAAAGAGATTAAGTGTTTTGCACCAAAAGCTTAGGTTTTCCAAATTATATGAAACTAACACCAGACAATACATCATCCTTTTGTCCAACGTTTACAACTGTCTGCATGTTAAAAAACGGCAGTGGGTTTTATAGCAGTCTAGTCTAATTAAAAAAGACCATCTAAATAAGGCTTGAACACTGATCTGATTATGGGGCATATTTTTTTTTAGGTATATAAAATGAAAATTCAGGGTTTCGTTTTTTTTGCTTAGCAAAGAACAAACAGCGTAATTCTCATACTACATATGTCAAGGTTTTGTTGTGCTTACAGTCTATAATGTTCTTTGCCTTTAAAAAAGTGGCGCAGATGGTTTATACAGGAAATACTGTATACTGAGCACTGAGTTTCCTTTCGTACCTTTGCTTCAGAGGTGAGCAGTTCCTAAACTGGCTTTGTGAAGGCTGCATTGTTGAGTTAGGGGGAGATCTCTTCAGCTCTTTCAAGTTCAGGCATGAACTAGAATTCAAGGTGTAATTAACAAGATCATCTGTGTCTGTAGATGAAAACGCATCCTCCAGAGTCCTAGGGATCTATAAATAAAAGCATTAAATTAAGCAAAGAATATTACTGTAGGTTACATGTAATTTTACTGCATATGCCAGCTCTCCAAAAAGGAACCACTTTTTCACTGAGCATTTTTGTACTCTGCCTGTTACACAAGTGTTGATCGTAATAGTATATAGTTCAGTGGTTTGATTAAATCCTAATGAATATGATAGAAGGCCTATCATTATTTGGAGTATTTGGAGAGCCTCACCTAACTGAGGAATGGCAGTCTAGTCATGAGGACAGGCTGCCCAAAAATCCCCCCATTACTATTGTGAAGATTAAACTAGGGTGCGAGACATATATACTGTACTTAGGCAATAGGAGGTGTGCGAAATTTGGATCTAACCTATATAACCTATAGTTTATAACTTCTGTTATGAACTCCATTTGAAAAAAAATGCATAAAATAAAAAAGATGACAGATGTACTTGGTACTTTTCCAAATGTAAACTCACAGCACATCTATTTATGGCCCAATGTCTGCATTTACAGTAACTACTAAATTCTAAGGGAGCACTTAATAACTTCATAACCGAACAGACAGAATTTTGATATTTTACATACCCCCTCTGCAGATGGATTTGACCTAGTTGTTTCATGAGAGTCTTCTAGAAACACAACATAAATCAAATTTGGTCAACCCCTGGTAAAGCACAAAATAATATTCCATAATATTTAATGGATAACCAAATAAAACATTAAACAATTAATGAAATAAAGTATGATGTGCCAAGCGATAAGAGATAAAATTGACATAACTAAATCAGACTGGCTGTTTACAATTGTCATGAAAACATTTAGAATAGAATAGTAAATAAAAGGATAACTAGTGGCAGAGGTTTGGGAGCGATTTCAATAATTTCAGAAATAAACCTTAAATTTAAAATGGATGAATCGGCACAGAAAAACAAAATTAGCCCAAGAAGGACACACTGTACCAACATAGAGACGAGCCTTTGGAGAAATATCTCTTGATGTGGATTTCCTAAGAGAAGCTTGTGAAATAGGTTGTGTTGATGTCACAGGTGGCCAAGAGTTACGGACCTGAAAACAGAACAAACAGATTGCATGTTAAAACGATTTCTGTATTTGTTTCTATATTGACTCACTAAGGGCCAAGAAGTATCCTGGAAACGTTTCTGGTAAGCAGATTGTATCCTATGATGACTTGTGTCATAAAAGAAGTAATAATAAAAGAAATACTCCATCTGGTGGCTAAAGTGAAGTACTGTGGTGGCTTTTGTTTCAGTATTGGCACATTGTGAGCACAGATACTTCATGCAAAAACAGGAGCTCTCTGGATTTAAATGTTATTCCCCAATCACAAGTATTGTCCATAAATGCAGGGCCCTTCTCAGCCTAGAAGACCAAAAACAGTGGCATTCCAGTACCAAGATAGATAACCCCTATTGTGTCCAATTCTTGTGTTTCTACCATTTCCTTTCTTATTCTAAAAGCATTCAATAAATAAATAAATAAATAAATAAATAAATAAATAAATAAATAATAATTGCTTACACTTATATAGTGCTTTTCTGGACACTCCACTCAAAGCGCTTTACAGGTAATGGGAACTCCCCTCCACCACCAGCAATGTGCAGCATCCACCTGGATGATGCGACGGCAGCCATAGTGCGCCAGAACGCTCACCACACATCAGCTCTCAGTGGGGAGGAGAGCAGAGTAATGACGCCAATTTATAGATGGGGATTATTAGGAGGCCATGACTGGTAAGGGCAAATGGAAAATTTGGCCAGGCCAGGGAAATGGATGGCGCCTATTTACAGTATAGTGTCCCCGTCGCTATACTGGGGCATTAGGACCCACATAGACCGCAGGGTGAGCACCCCCTGCTGGCCCCACTAACACCTCTTCCAGCAGCAACCTTAGTTTTTCCCAGGAGGTCTCCCATCCAAGTACTGACCAGGTCACACCTGCTTAGCTTCAGTGGGTTGCCAGTTGTGAGTTGCAGGGTGATATGGCTGGTGGAAATAAAGTTAAGCAAAAAATAAAAAAAATAGAAAAGACCAAAAAGGAGTTAGAGTTGTGCTCACATGTCGTACTGCAGAGTCAGGTCTGGAGTGGGGGCTGGACTCTTGCTGGTTTGGCCCCAGGTTGAGATGTGCAAGTCTCTGAGTGTTATTCTCCGACAGCTCCGCTATGTGCCTCCGAGTGGCAGGTGACACAGACCTCAACTTTGACATCCCTGTTGATTTGTCATAACGCTGCTCTTTACTGTGAGGGGCTCTTTTCTTCCCTGGTGAAGGATTTGCTTTCTTGGATAATTTGCATCCTAACTTCTGGGCCTTCTTCCGGATTATTTTTCTTGAAGCTTCCTTCTAGATATCAGAAAAAAATCCAAATTATTTTTATTAATTTCTAGAGAAAACACTCTTTATGAAAATAATAGAAATGACTTCAGAAGGAATGGCTCAGAATTTCTGCTTTAAAGGAGTCTTATAGCTCAGGTTATAGCTTCATAGTGAACAAAATCACAACACTGGGCCCATATAACTTATTATCCCATACAAACATTGCAGTGGGTGAAAGGGGTTCATGACCAAAGAAAATGAGCATTTAAAACATTTCTCTCAAATACTATTTAATTAGATCAGCTTCAGAGGTCTCTAGTGAACTGGTTCCCAATCCTGATCCTGAGATCTCACATACCTGCTGGTATTTATTTCACCTGAGCAACAAATTAAAACATTTAACCCTTAACAGACCTAATAATAGGCTTACTTGGAGCACTATAGCAGTTTTCAGTTCCTAAACATGTAGGATATTTCCTTTTAACTGTTGTGTTTCATTAGTTACTTTATATCTCCAACTCCTGAGTAGAATAAAACTTGCAAAAATTCTAACCAAACAACTTGTTGGTTTGGTTAAGTATTCATTTAAATAAAGACCTCCGTTTCCATGAAAGTCTGCAGAAGTGTCTCATTAGAAAAGAAAATCTTTCATGTGATTTATCATTAATTATTTGGCTCAAAATTTTAGTGCTTCCTTGTTATATGAGTGAAAATCCATGTGCAAACTCTATCTTGTCTGTAAATCATCTGTAAATTGTAAATCATCTGTTTTAAACCATTATGCATATTATACAACCTGCATATGCTATTAAAATAGTAATACAGATTTTAAAAATAATACTAAGGAAATCCAGCATTTAAACAAACACATGTGTAAGAAAGCATCTTACCAAAGGAGTATTTGTACAAATCCCATTCTCTATTTTTGAGCAGCATTCTTTAATGGTGGTTCTAGTGGAAAATTCTAGCCTTGGTGCAATTCCCTGGAATATGAAGGAAAGAAGTGATGAAGAGCTTTTGGCTATCCCGTAACTCAGTCTTTCAAAGTCTGAGAAAGACTCTTAAGTGTAAGAAGTAGCATTTATTTTAGGAAAGTTATGCTTTCTCTCAGCTGTGGCCTGTAATTTAAACAATTCATGTAAAATCGAGGTTTGAGAAAAAAACTATTTTACAGCTTTACAGTTTTAGTAGCCAAAATGCTTTTCTAAGTATGTAAAATGTATGCTACCACAGACTGCTAAAATCCCACTTTGCATCTGTAGCAAGAAAATAAGAACATGTGACAGTATCAAAACTGTAGTGCTGGCAGGTGTCTTTGAGATTAATCTCACTGTATCTCGACAGACTTCTCCAGCACAGAATCATGATCACAAATGTTCTCCTAAACTAGTGAATATTGTGCTGGAAAGATAGATTCTAACCTCTTTCCCCACAATGTGAACATGGTCCAGATCTGCCATGATAACAGGCAATGCACAATGTTGTACTGCACTAGTATTAATTAAGTATAATATACAGTATGTAAGATATGTATAAGTGCATATTGCATATGTAATATAAAGTACAATATTTGTATATAGTATAATTATGTATATATTATAGGTAATGTATGCTAGCATATTCTCTATTTGTGAATTAGAAGTATTTTCTTTCTTTTAAAAAAAGCTTATTTGCTTCTATCTGCATGGTTAAACCAAACTGATCATTAAAATATTAACACATATGTGATGTGATCAATGTTCAGGTTTTATTAGCACCAATAGATTATATCAGCTGCAGAATAGCTATAAACAAATGAAACAACGCACAATTTGAAATTATATTTAAATTTGTTTCTGCGGTAACAAAGACCTATTCTGTGAAGACGGAATAGGAACGGAAATCTTACAGGGAACACATGTGCTCGCGTCATTAGTATTTCTCTGTCCACTCCAGGGTATGAAGGGGCCAGCTTAGGCTCCGGGAACAAAAAGGTCCGGGCATCTTCTTCATAAAACGCCAATGTTTCACCCACTGAAATCAGGTCAAAACAAAGACAATGAGAACTCATTGCTGTGAAAATCAAATCACTATCACTAGTATTATACCTGGGGGGGATCAGTTGGAGTGATCATTTTGCTGATGATCTTAGGGTTTAGAACTTAGAAGCTGGGTTCAATCTTTTTGGGGATATTTTACATAGAGATTGACTCATTCAGCCTTACTGTCATAGCAGAGGTAATGAATGGGACTGACAGATGGGATTGTTAAAATGGTGCGAAAATACAAGTACCTTACCTGGCGGAATTAACTGTATCAGCTCAATTTTTGCAGTTTCCCCTAATTTACAAAGAAAAGATATGTCATGTACGATGAGGAGGTCAGTCAGGCCTGACTGACACATTAATTCTATTAGAGTGACAAAAAAATTCTAATGCAACAGGGCAACAGTGAAGGCCCAACGTGTTATTTTTGTTATTCTGACCTAGAATAAAGTTTTCCTATTGGAAACAATTTCATATTACAACAACGAAAAGATACATAAGTTTGAAAACCATCCTCTTCACTAACCACTTCCACTAACAAGTTTATGACACACGACACAGAACAGATGGTCTTCAAATAATATTACGATTTACATGGTGCACAAAATAACCTATAGCCAGAAATGGCTGTATAGGTCTTGTGTCCAGCTCCCTCCTAATAGAACCCCCTGCATGTGTCTACAGACCAATCCAGATAATACAGAACACTGCAGCCCAACTAGTCTCTCAGCCTCTCGAAACAATCTACAGGGCTTCCTGGGGGCCCGCACTGGCATACAGTATCTTCGGACCACTGTGTCAGGCCCTATGTTCCCACTAGTGTACTGAGATCCGGTTCCTCAGGCTGACTGGTAATGTCAAAGCTGAGTCCTTAGCCTCAACTGTTTTTTCTGCACTGTCCCTCCCAATGGTGGACCAACCACAGACTCACTCACCAGCTCCAAGAAGAAACTGAAAACTCAGCTCTTTAGAAATACTGTATCTAACCCCAGAGTCCCATGCGTATCCCTCACAAACTGTACTGACTGTATGTTACCTGCCCATATTCCTGTTTGTCACATACCAACATCCCTAGCACTTAAATCCATGTTACCCATCCTGTTTCAGGGGTTTTATTGCTGTCTTCTGCATCCTTTGCAACTTAACTAGATGTTGTTATAAGTCACATTTGGATAAAATGAATAAAACTAAATGAGTCATACTCCACATGTTGTTGTTTTATCTGCACCTGATCAAACTGCATGATAGTCAAAGGTTGAGCACAACATAAACATAATGAATAGCTTTCACTTTTGGACTTCTGTTCTAAATGTTTCAGACATACATTCCAACAGCTCAGCGACAGCAGCTGGGTCAACTGCATGCTTAAATACCTAGAAAGGTAAACAGAAACATGTAATAGAGGGAGATACATTCATTTACACATACTGTACATACACTATGTGCAATAAAAACATGTCTACATATGTGTGACAAAAACATGTCTTAATTTAGTTTCAGTAGCTCACATAAATAATATTTTAGCTGAGACCAGATTTGTGTTTGAGTAATGTTAATATTTGATTTCATTAACATGGCCTGAGCTCAGTGTTTAGTTCTTACGCTGAGTTAAAATTGACAAAATGAGATTATTAAGGATTTGTATTTATTATTTTTATTTCTTATCCTTTCATAAGACATGATTTTACTGGACAAAAGGACAAAAGCATTTAATAAAAGAAACTACTCCTGCCTGCACCCATGGTGCAGAATGATGTTAATTTGACAGTTCAGTGACACCCTTTCTTTGCTCCAATCTCCACTTGGAGTGAGGATTACTTGACTTCAGGAAATACATGACATGAAATACATGACTTCCGGTCTTGCCATGACTAGCTTTCTCTCCCAACCTGAGTACTCTAGCGTCAGCTTTCCATTGCCTTTAACAGGAGATTTCTGCAACAGGACAACTGGCTATAAGTGTACAGGAAGAGTCATGAAATATCTCACAGCAGTCTCTCCAGAGGCTCTCGGTTGTATTTTGAGCACTTGAAGATGGACACTGTAGTAACGTAGAACACTGAAGATCTTCAGTTTTCAGTGGTTGACATTTACAATAATTGTCCTGCTAGATAATCCATATAAAGTGTTAAATATTAAAAATCATAAATAATTAAAAACTCTTTACCAATGATTTTTAGTATTAATAACAACATAATGAATTACCCAGATGCTCCTACTGGTGTGCTTTAAGATCCAGGGTCTTCATAAAGTGTATTTATTAAACTGGTATGACTATGCCTGTGCTCAATAAATACTCACATCAAGTCATACAGTTTTACCTAAGATTTTGTTTTTCCCTTTCACTTTTCCCTCCTTCCCACATACTGTAGAAACTTGAAAATAAGATTCTGATAGCACAACCTCCTGTCTCTCACTGAAAAAAGCATCATTTCATTTCCTGCACTGTTGAAATTAAAGATAGACTATGGCCAAAAATGTATTTACCTTCTCAAATCTCATTTTTTCCTTAAACAGAAAGGGGAAGACTGGCGCAACACACTCGGTTTTCTTGTACTGATTCATGAGGCACACACTGAGGTAGACATCATCTTTGTCAGCCAAAAACACACCAGGACATGTCACCTGGGAAAAGATTAATAATAACGAGTGACTTTTTTCTTTTGGTGTTCCATTCCTTATACTACAGTATATCTCCCAAGCTGTCACACCTAGTGAACAGACTTTAACGTGGTTTCTTTACTATTCACGATACCAGCAATCTGCTGTGTGCTGCTCTGCATTGTGTATTACAATGTTATTGAGAATTGCAACTGAACTTACAGTATAAAGGTACGTTTATAAAGTACAACTACATTTTTGGAAATACAAAAAATAACAATTTGATAGCTTGTTGGTATATATTTATAGTTTTCCACTATAAATACCCAAAGGAAAGAGCCACGATTTCACATTATTGTTATTTTGTACAGTTAAATGAATATGCTGATTTTACTGTTTTAGCATGAAGTCACACGTAATAAGTTAATTTGCTAACTTTATCAATGCATTTGCCATGGCCCTGTGTATCTGCACATGAATATCAAGAAGCAGTAAAACCTCTTTATTTTAGCATATTATCATAGCATTTGTTACCCCTATAATGCCTCTCTGCATACTGTATTTCTGACACGAAGGCCAACAATACCTGGTACTAAACTGTCACAGTCTAGCAGGTTTTCATAGGACATTGTTAAATAATCAATTTCTAAAGATAAGTCAATTTAATCAGTTAAGCAGATACATTTCGGCTACATATATTAATAGAGTTTTTTGCACAAACCTATAAATACTCTGCAGAACTCTAGGAAGAGCTCTATCCACCACATGTCTATATGAACAAATATCTGATCAAAGTAATCCATCCATCAATTTTCTAGGCACTTCTTCCAATTCAAGATCACAGGGGAGCTGGAGCCTATCCCGGCAAGCAAAGGACACAAGGTGGGGTACAACTTGGATGGGACACCAGTCCATTGCAGGGCAGACAGACAGCTGTACACAATAACACACAGGGCCAATTTTCCCAGAAGCCAATTAACTTACTGTACTGTACTGTATGTTGTTGGACTGTGAGAGGACACTGGAGCACCCAAATACAGGGAAAACATACAAACTCCATTGAGACACTGTAGCATTCAGGTCCCATTTTGAACACAAATAACCCAAAACTTAATTATTAGCATCCTATAACAGGTGCTGCTGAACTGGATCCAATGGGGTGGGCTGTGTTATGAGCTTTTGAAGTGTAATGAGCAGAGTGTAAAATCCGACTTCGACCTTCTTTAACTTTCCAATAGGTAGCTCCAAACAAAGCGACTCGTTGCTTCCTGGTTCCTGTTCGGTTGCTCCAAGACTGTGAAAAGATCTCCCAGCCCATACTGGATCTTACAAGTCAATCAGCACTTCCACATCCTGTCTCTAAGCTCTTTTGTATACTTCAGGTTATAAATCGTTTTAATTTAAAGAATAATAGTTACAGAGACGCTCATATTAAGCTTTTTTTAATGCAAAATAGATCTAAAACAGAAACTGTATAAATGTAAGGGAAACTTAAATAATAAAACAGTTCTTACATACAACAATAATAAAAAAAAAGATCTGTAAACTAGTTTATCCTTTATGCATTTGCGGAAATGTAGCAAAATGCACAAAACAATTCGATGTTATTCCGATACTGAAATAATAAAAAGTCTGCACGGTTCCTTTAAATTTTAAATGTATCTTCAGGTTTTCCATATCTCATATTGTAATTAAACAAAACAAAAAGTCCGTTACAACAGTTGTACAACATTCGCCTGTTTATTTTATTCTTGCGTCTGTCCCTTCTGTCCATGTTAAGTAACAACACAGTTTGAGTTTGGCGAGATGTGTTGCAAGCGAAACTCACAGTGGAAATCTTAATCCTAATCCAGTATTTTGCAATTAGAAATGCGAGTGCTTAAAGCAGTCCATTTCATGCAGAAAATTACTGTATTTAAACATACCGTTTTATTAAGGAATTAATGTATAATAACAGCAATAAACGGTATCCCCTACGCTAAACGACAAGCGTAAACACGTGGATAGTAAAACAAACAAGAGATGCGGTTCTTACCGCATGGAGATCCAATTCAACCATGACCTTCACTGCTTTTTGAGGCATTTTCGGGAACTTTTCATGCGCTGGCAAAACTTTGATTCGCTCCAGTCCGCAGTGCCCAGCGAGCCCAACCCTTTCGGCAGTCAGACCCGCCGTGGAGACCGCCGCGGAGTAGCGTCCGGTTGCCATGGGGACCGGCTGTCTCCTAAGGTCTACGCGTCTGCGCAACTCCCCGCAAGGGGGCAGAGAGACAGAAAACAGCTGGGACATCAGTGACAGCTGGTCAACTTGTACATTTTCCACTATTTTATATTCTTCTGCTAGTACGTGTTCTTCTGGCCTTGAAACATAAGGGAAGTTGTTCCACTGAGTGCCCAGACCTTGCCCAGACTGCCCCTTCTCACTTAAATTGCCCCCCCCACCTTCGCAGAAAAGACAGAAACATCTTTACAGCATCAATGAACAAAACACCTAAGCAGGGTTAAATGAAATTGACCTAGAATTGTGAGTTTTGTTTTTTAGTGATTTACAATTGTATATACAGTACAACATGGATAATATAGTGAGATACAGTTTAGTGTTTCTGTGAAGACTACCAACTTCTTTCTGCTAATATTACACTTACTAATATTATATTTTGATACTAATATACATAAACGAATGATTCTGGTCTGTTTTCCTAAAGGTAAAGCATGATGACAAAGATGACGACGATATACAGTGATGTGCACAGTTGAAAAAATGCTTAAAGGATGCATTTCGATGGTTATGGAAAACTAATCTATGATAAATCCACACTGAACTCTTTGTACAAAATGTTTTTATAAAACTTTCAAGTGAAGAATAGCCTTTCAACACACTTTAGACCGTCCTCTTTAAAAACCATTAAATCATGATATGTATTTACCTAAAATGACGCAGCCTTTCAAGCCACTGTGACGTACTGTATATCCTTTACGTTGATGTCACCCTGCAGGGGTAGTAACCCCGGCTACTGTCCAGTTTAAGATTTTGACGCGCCAGAGTCTACAGGACTATATTTATATTGACTATAAAGTCAATTCAGGACGCGGCTGCGGTATCACATCGTGTCTATGGATAAAGCGCATTACATTGCTTACCCAGCTGTCGTTGACACGCCGGGGCACTTTACAAATATGAGAAGAAAACTGGACCATCGCTATTATGAGGCTCACAAGCAGCGGGTGGAGAACGGTAAGTGGGAAATGTTCAGTTGTTTATAGAAAGTTGAAGGTTATTTTACCATTATAACAGTATTTTCTTAAACACTCTGACATTGTAACAAACTTTCGCCCCCAGTGAAACCCGTAGTGGACAATAAAGCGCCAAGGACATATTTACATTTCCATCTGAAGATGAAGAAAATTCAGGTAAAATAATTAATACATAAACAGGAGTCGTTAATCTAGGTTGTTTTGTTCTTAGTTGGTAACATTTTAACTTTCTTAACTAAGACTCCCGGACCGATTAAGATAAACACTGCATTCGCTAATATACTTAAAAAAAAATATCCGCTTTTTAATGAGTCTGCCAGGGACCGATTAAGAGTTAGGCTGTTTAACAAAAACGAAAAACCTTTGTCAATACTTTGTTGTGTTCCGTACAGTGTGGCATAAAAATGATTTATGTGGCTTGAAAATATAATGACTATGCCCCAAAGACAGAACTCACGACTGCAGAGCTGAACTACAGTACATCAGCGTGATTAATACCCTATTCTGCATTCGTCCACACACCCAAAGGAAGCTCCCCACTTGAAAGTTTCTCATTTTCTTCATTTCACTTCTTCAAAGTGTCTTTTTGTAACCATTTTTGAAATGACAGCTTGGTAATAGATCCCAGATGACTTGCAGTTTTTTCGCAGTAGGGAGTAAAAGGTAACAATTTTAAGATCATTTATTTTGGGGAATTGTGCAGATAGTGAAATATTTTTTTTCCCCAAAGATGGAGCAGGAGAGATTGGCAACAGTGGAGAGGAACAACAGAATCCTGCTTGAGAAAATGGCTTGCATTAAGAGCACCACTGGCTGTGTGGACAACTGGAATAACTACCAGCCCAAAAGGTGACGTATTTTCTTAGCGTTCATTAAAAAGAACGGGCAAAGTAAAACTCTCACACAAAGCCGATGCAGGTTAAAGAGCTGACGTTGTAAATATGAGCACAAATGGAGATTACCTCACAAGAAGAGGCAATTTGCTTTAGCTTGTTTGACTTCTAGTAACTAATTGATCTGAGGATCTCATCCAGCCATATTGTGACAAAGCCAGGCAATCAGTTTTAACATCATAGCTGGGTAGCTTGTTCCAGACTTCAGCTACCCTTTGTGTAAAGGAGTGCTCCTTATTCTCAGTTTCACAAATGTTAACGTTGTTGTAGTTTCCACCTGTGTGCTCTGGATTGAGTTTCACTGTTGATTCTGAAGTTGTCCTTGGCTTTGAGAGTTTTGAATACTTCACTCAGGTTTCGTAGTCTCTGAGCTTTTTAGAATGTCTGCATACTGTAGTTGCATCATTACTGAACCTATATATTATTAGGTTTTAATAATAGAAATAGAAATAACTGGAATAGCAATAGCTCTTTCCAATAATATTTTCACTGCAAAGTAATGGAAGTGATTTTCTTGTCAGGTTTCCAGGTAGTGGAAGCGGATCATGATTGTCAGGCTTGTTTTCCTTCCCAATTTGGAAACTTCTCATGTCATTCCTCTGCATACAAAGCAAGAATACTGACTCTTAAAATTGGGGTCCTGTGCCTATCAAAAAAGACCTTTGCAAAATATTCTTCTTTCACTGCAGGGATTGAGTTAAAATTGGTCAGAATTTATGAACAGCTTATGACTTTGCACAAAAAAAGGAACAATTACATTTTTTAACTGCTCTTCTTCAAACACCATTAAAGGACCATTTAAATTTAACCGCTATATTTCAAACATCATAGATATCATTCGGTTTTCCCTTTAGTTTACTCACAGGTCATTCACACTGTTTAAGCACATGGGGAAGAGCTTGCTGGAAAACCTTCAAACACTTCTAGTTTACACATTGTTTTCTGTGTTTAGATTTTTTGTCTCTTTTAAAGCCTGTCTATCTAATGTCACTAACCCCCACGTTTCTTTTTCCATCGTGTCCTTCAGCCTTAACATTGGTAAAAGAAACCAAGAGCTTGTGAAGATAACATTGGACAATCAGGCTATCCTCAATAGAATAAATGCTACCAAGTCCATCTATAACCATCAAAAGTGGCTGGCTGACTACAAGGTAAAAATAATTTCCTGGGCTCTGCAAATTAATTTATAATTAATATTGCATTCATATGAAGCTTTTTGCCCCAGAGGCTTCACACATATAGAGTGGGACTTAGAGAAGCACCAGTACATTTTAGTGATACCTTAAGTATCTCGGACAGTGAGGCCTTCTATCATAACCTGACCTTCCTGCATATAAGGCAGTTATTTCTTCTCTGCCTCTAAGACTTTACATCAGTCATAGTCAGATACATAGAATTACCTGTTCTCAGTTCTTGTACCTCGCAGGTCTCTTGATAACACACATTGGGTATTCATTTTCTAAATTTACTGTACATGAAGAATTTTAAGACATCTGTCAATCACAGCAACGTGTTCCCTGTGTCCATGCGTAAACTGTCTTTAAATGTAAACAAATTTATGTTTTAGCACATTTATGAAAAATATGATGACCAAAGTTTGTTTTGGCCAGTTATTACCGAATGCCCATACATAAAGTATGCAGAATGTTTAAAGAGTGCCTGAAATTATACTAGACAGACTCTTCAAATAATTCCCCATCCTTTTTTTAATATATCAATAAACAAATATTGTTTTAGGTTAGCAGAGGATACCTTACTCAAATAACAAAGTACCCAGAAACAAGAAAGACAAAGAACAAGGTAAGATTAAAATAAGATGCATTAGTAGGAAGTTATGCTTTATTCATTCCTAACAAGTCATCTTATTATGTAAAGAATGTGTTTTATATTCCTTTAGAAGGGATCTGGTATTTCGATGATTAACACTATATGAGGCTTTATCTAAGTTTACATCACTGTGCAGTTAATTAAAAAAAACATACATATTACCTTTAATTTGAAATTATTAAATAAAGGAACACATTTACATAACTCACTAAAACAAAAGTTAAAGAAGCCGTGGTCGACACAATATGACCTTAATTCTACTGACACTATTTTAAAATCAGGATATTTGTATAAAGAGATTTTGTAGAATCAGACAATCCTGAGGTCTTTGTTCCTGGGAGACAGCTGTATTGTATAGAATAATGTAGTGTATAAGTGAATGGAAAATTAACGGCTTTCTATCCGTACATAAATTCAGGAAACTTGTATATAAGACATACATGGTTTTATAGCAACACTAATGAATATGATAATAGAAAGCAAAAAGCAAAATGACAAAATGATTGTTGCTATATTACCCAAAATATTCTGTGCCAATTTAGTGTACATTTAAGTTAAAGAATAACCTTAATAATCATTCTCCTATGAAAATATCCTGGACGTTGACCCAGAAGTCTACAGTGATCTTAAATTCTGAATTGTTTGGTTTCCTATTTATGAATATAAATTACTTAATTACATTTTTAATATTTTTTAGGACTGCCTGCCAGAAATCAACAAAAAATGATGGAAACAGATTACAAGGAGCGGCACTGTGAAGATTTCTTTTTTAGTCACAGTAATAAAGTATAAGTGGAGTCTGAGTGAGTTAAAAAATAAAATAAAGAGTTTAACAGTTTTTGTTATCTAATAAAAAGGTCTCCATTACATAAACAGCATACAATATCTATACTGTATGCACAAATATATCGGTATGCAGATAACTGAGAAATAAAATGTTGTCTTAAGGTTAAAATGCTTGAAATGCCTTTGCTGCTGGATGTTTTAGACATTGTTTTTAGAAATGTATCCTCATTGTAGTAAACGTGTTGCTTTAAGCATTCATGTGCATGATGTGATGAGATCAGAATTTAATTTTCATTCCAAGAAGTACTGAAGTCCCAAGTTTGAAGGTCAATTTTTGTTCTTCTTGTTTGCAAGGAAACATTTGTTTCATAACACGTTTGGACAAACGGTTATGTGAATAGTTGGTTGATTTGTTTTTACACATAATGTAATAAACCAGACTTCAAGTTCTGCATAGCTTCTTCAACTGGTTGGATAACTTGTCAAGTTATCAGATCACACCAAACTTCAACTAAAAATGAGCAGCTACAGATTGCACTTTTGTCCTTACTAGTCTTCATCAATATGACATAATGTTGTCAGGTGAAACCAGTGTCTTTTTAAACTAAGCACAAGTCCTTCATCAAACATATGGCTTTCTAGGGTATCAGTTGTGACTGACTGATGTGAATGTTCCCTGGCTTGTGAGGCATATAAAATCAATCTTAGAAAGCTCTATTTTTAATACTTAAAATCCCATTTTAAAAATGGGCCAACATTCTTCTTGATATTGTCTGTGGACAGTGTGTCTATTCCCGCCTGAACTGGAAAGATGCCACTGTGCACACTCTTCCACATTTTTTTCATCTTTGTTACACTGTATAATCAAAAACAATTATATTCTATAGTTATTGTTCAGATTCAGTCTGTATGTTTTCTGTGCATTTGACTTTTTTTCTTTTAGTATATAGTGTGTATAGGTTGTGGTTTTTACAACTGCCAATGTGTTTTAAAAATCAGTGACTGATTCCTAAAGGATACGGAATTGAGAAACCTTGGTATTGTAAACTACTAAGGGATGGCAAAGGAACAAGTAAAGGTTTATTCCATGCTGAAAAGAGAAGAAAAGAAACACAACATTTCGGCTGTGGAACCTTCTTCAGGGGTGAAAGACTCCACACTCAAAACTTTATATCTCTTTTCAGCATGGAATAAACCTTATTCCTTTGCAGCCTATGTATACTGACACAGCTATCTACTTGAACTACTAATACTGTAGTCATACAGTAGAAATGTGAAAGGAAATGGGAAAAGAAGATGATAATGTATAGTCACTTCACCTTTTAAAACCTGCTTATATATATATTAACACTTATTTTCGAAGTGAAGATATACGTATATAGCTATTGATGTTAAAATAAGCATTGATTTTGAATGAGTATAGTGCTACGGTTCTGTGCTTTAGTAATTATTTTAGTTTAAAATAGGCATGTCGTTCTCATAGCGGCCCAGTAAAAGTGGAGGAATTAAACTCCAGCAGTCTGAATGCTTTTATTGGAGACTTTTGGTCTCAATTTCTGACGCTGGGTGGCACTCCGCCGCAGCTATCAAGGACTGAAGAACCAAAGGCAGGTCATTGTGTTCTTCGGCGACATGGACTTAGTGGAGAGGGTACCGAAACTTTGCCTGAAATGTACGCACTTGAAAAACGCACTTTTTGGTACGAAAGATATGCTAAACCATTAACCAGATACTTTTCACAATTGAGTGTACTTAAGAATGATACACGGTTGCTGTGATGGAATATATTTTTGTGTAAAAATCTGAAATCAGTCAGGCGCTGGATAGACAGCACACTATTCTATTTCCTTTTTGAAAGCCCCCATGAGGAAGTTGTGCGAGAGTCGTGGCTAGCACCTGGTGATTTTGAATGTAAGTAAGAACGTGTAGCTAATATTGGTTCTTATATGTCTGTTTCTGTTGTAATTCCGGGTTGCTGTTTTTATTTTTATTTCGTGTGGTGCAGTAATTTCCCTTGTGTTTCGTTATTGTTTGGTGTTCGGCCGTTTACATTAAATGATTCTCTTCATGTTAAAGCCTCTGTGCATGCTGCATTTGACAGCACGATGTACCTGGCTAAAAGAAAGACTTCGGTTATTTCGTATAACTTCAAAGCTCTTGAAGAAAGGTTGAGATAAGCAGAAGCTGTAGCTAAAGGTATATTTTGCCCTGTGTCAATGTGTCTTTTGGTTTAACCGCCTATATGAGTTCTTTTGTAGTTGCGCTCTTGTATTCTTACAGCTTACTAACCCGTTAAAGGCGTTGGTCAAAGGTGTAATATTACATTTTAGCAATTTGCTTGCTTATAGTCTTGTTACTGTTAGAGACAGCGTAAGAAAGATCTGAAAAGGACAAAGTTAAAAACATCAAGTGTACCTATAAGACCTCTTATCGGCTGTTGTATGCAGTACTAGGCAGTGTGTTGTACAGAATGATACTGCAGACCTGGAAAAAATCGGAGAAAAAAAACGACCATATTAATTGCTTATTTAAGGAAATATCGTATATTCGGATGGGATCAATTCCATAAACGAGCCTGTCAAACCACGGGACTAATTGAGCTCCATCAATAAAAAAAAAACAACAACCCAGGATCACAGGCAAAAAAGGAGAACAAACGGAAATAGGTTGACCTTTTATTACCTTTTTTTTTATGAACCAACTATAAATCTAAGTTAAATAAACAGCCATCCCAAGTAGTGGCTTTTATTGGGAAGTGATGCTGGCAAGAAGTGCCAGTTGTGCCCAGACTGCCAGTAATATTATCAATAGGAGTGCCACAGTCCTCCCTTTTAAAAAAGACGTTTTAAAAAAATCAGCAGTATTTAATCCAGTGGGTTCAGAGTTATAGTTGCATTGTATGGTAGCGTGTATGTCTCTGAGACTATTACTCCATGGACCTGTGCTTTGCCCTTTTCAGTTGATCCACTGCTGCTGTTAGTTTTAATAAAATTGCAAGGGGATTTTTTAAATGATTTTTTTAAAACATCAATGTTGGCTTATTTTTAATTATTTCATTATTATGTCTGCTATAGTATATAGCAGTGCACCGAATCACTAATTTTCCAAATGTATCCAAGCGTGGTGCCGTGCATCCTGATCGTTCTGTATTTCCGGATGTATCATCCAATTCCAATCATGAAGATGATGAAGACTGGATCAAATGCCTGTGTTAAACTTTATGTATCGCACATGCCCTGCCCGTAAAATTAAGTCTGAACATTTTCAAGTAACGCTGGTGGTGTGGTCTCGATCTATAATGGAGGTTTGCTTAATTAAAAAAAAAAATGTATTATTTTAAAACCTTCAGGAGTGAAAGAAGATTCGGTCATATTTTTGCTGCAACTGCCCATGGGAAATTCCACAAACTAGTGTCTGCAGATTTCCATTGGCTATTCAGGAATATTAATCCACCAGCAGCTGGTGAATACTTAACATTGCAGAGGCTGATACGTTGTGATCTCCAACTGTGCTTCCTGTGCCTGTGAATTTCCCATTAAGGCAGGACATTTGGTAGTGTTATTTGACACATGTGGGAGCAACAGATTATTCAAGAGGCTGAGTACAGACTGGACAGGACTGATTAATATACTTCTGGGCAAAAAATATACTTACAGTAAAGCAGACTTTTTCTGAAATTATAATTTTTTAGCTTCCTCTCTGCCTCTTCTCTTCCTCAGTCTGTTGTATCACATGTGGTTTGTAGCTAAGTGTGCAACATAAGCCCACTCCTCAATTTCTGCTCTGCGTGTACAACACGTTGGAACATTTCTGCGGTGAAATGTCTGGTGCACAACCTGTACTTATTCGGCCAGCCATACGTAACGCGATGCAAGTAATTACAGTGACTAGTGAGCAGGAAGGACCGCATCATCTTGCAAATCGTGCAAAGTTTTGCTCTCGCCCCTGGTGAGACCAGGGGTTTGTGACAACATATCAAATCTACAGTCCTTTCATTTTGTGCTTAATTTGGAATTTGTATAATTTTGCGATACCGTCAGTTTATTTTGTTACTGAGGTAAAATAACCGGTCTGAGAAATTGGGACTGCAGTTCGTCTTTATCTATGCTGTAAACATTAAAGAACACAGAGGAGTGCATTTGGCTTATATAACTGGGTTTGTCTGCTAGTAGCAAGTTGGTCCAAGGATCTCATCCAGGCTTTTCTTGAATGAAGCTAGGGTATCAGCTCTGTGCCTCACATTCTTTGTTTTAAGTACGCTGTCCATCACTACATCCAGAAATTGATCTTTTCAGTTTTATAGAATCTAAGTGATAGAATTTTAATCAGGCCTTAAATATGTGTTGTAAATAATAAACGGTGATTTTGAATTTTAATTATGATTAACTTTTAATGTCCCAAAACACTTAAAAAAACAAATAAGTACATGCGTCTCTTATGTTTCATAACGTAATAAAGTGTGGATCGAGACTGAAGACTACCGCAGAACCCGCTCAGTGAGGCTGGTTAGTCTGGATAAACACGTTTCATATGCCAAAGCCACAGAATTTTCGGCTGTGCTTTCGGTTTGGATTTAGCAAACCTTCCATTGTTCTGAAAACTGTACTTATGGAAAAAGGCCTGAGTTGTTATCAGTCTTTGTGAAGCAACGGGTATTAATAACCCTACTCCTCTTTCACTACATTTCTTAAGATCTGGAGCACATGTGTGGTCATTCATTGGGATTACCTGGAATTCACCTGTAATTTTCCAAGTATCTGATGTCATTCTGCAAGTGTTTATGTTACTAATCTTTTACTGGAGATTGAGATTAATCACCATGTGCTTTTGATTTTCCAGAACAAGCTGACAAGTGCTAACTGGATTTTGCAGAAATAGCGATGTGATTGAATAAGACTTTAGGGCAGGCCTTATTCCCTAAGGGTGAGGATGAAATAGTGACTGGAGCTGTCCACACTGCTAAAGAAAGTGAAAATACATGAATTTTTGCACATTTGATTTCCTTTGTTTAAAAGGTTAATCTCTAAATAGAAATACATTGTTTGCCTAGACAGTGCTGTAACTGGGCCTTGAAAAACAAAAATGCGTGCTCTCTAAATGTTACTCGGTTACATCTCATGAAAATAATCTGATCACGCAAGGCATTGCAGATCGCATTTCATCGTGTAGCTGGATCTGATCTGAAGCAAGGTGACCACACGGTTCAACAGCTTAGCTTTTAAAAAGCAATGCAAGTCAATCATTTGAAGCGCAGAAGCATGTCTTGAAAATGGAAAAGCTGTAGACAGCCACCCTTTTAATAGTGCTTTTCGAGGGTGCACTGGCTGTTTCCTGTTGTGCGGTATTGAAATCCACGTGCCTCAAGTAGACATAATGGCTGTGCTAGCCGACAGGTGATGCGTTAAAGTGATTCAAGTTTTCCCAATCCAGGATATGCTTAGATGCATGTGAAATCTCACATTGGCTGCACTCTGTATGCGTTTAATTTTGTATCCCCCCTGAAGAGAGACCGATTGGATAAGAAAGCCCAAGCAGTTCAAAGTCCTTTTTTTTTTTGTCCTGAGCTTTTCTGGCCTTGTCGCACCCCTCCCTTGCTTCTTGTTCACGTACATTCCAGTTAGGATTACAACAGAGCCACCAGGATCACGGCTGGACCAGCTTCGCTACCAGTCTGGTGACAGTTCGGGTTTTGGTCCGCGGATATCGGGAGTTCCAGTGGGAAATCCTGCAGAGGAGTCGCTCTTGCTGCTGACCAGAGCAGATGCGTGTGGTTGCTTTCACTGATCATGGTGCTCCATTGTAGTTCTGGGCATGGATACAGAAACACAAGTCAGACCTCAAAATTGCAACCCAGTACTGACCCTTTGCAGCTCTGAAGTGCATTGGCTTATCTGGAGCGTCTGTAACCTGTTTACGGTAATAGATCATTGCATTGCTGAAGGGCTTACATTTTTGGAATTCTAGAGTAAAGCTGGCTTGTTCTGAGTGAATGAACACAGAGTTTCCCAACCATAGAACAAATAGGCAATAACGTATTTGGAACAAGTAATAGGTTTATTCCATGGTGAAAAGAGAAGAAAGAAAACTCAACGTTTCGGCCGTGAAGCCTTCTTCAGCCTTCTTCACACCTGAAGAAGACTCCACGGCCGAAACGTTGTTTTCTTTCTTCTTTTCAGCATGGACTAAACCTTTACTTGTTCCTTTGCAGCCTACGCATGCTGACGCAGCTACCCACCTGGACTACTTCAATAATCCATTAGTCCTCCTTTTCTTCCCTGTAAAGTTGAGAAGTCCTTCAGTGTTCATTTTTCTACAAGACCTATTTTTTATGTTTTAACCTTAACTGTTGTTCATATGCCTGTGGATAAACTAAAGCAGAACATGTTCTTTGTGTGCAGTAAGATTGCAGAGACCTTGTGATTTTCAGCTCTCTGTACAGGAGTAGGTAAAGGGAAGTCTTTACCTGAAAAAATATCAAATCTAAAGCTAAATTTTGACTGACCAATGCTGCGTAGTGATTTTTTTCACACAAACCTTTAATTTACTTTATACTTTATACAGGAATTGTTGTTATGGATGTAATCAAGACAAGCTTTGTGTATAACTCCACAAGTCAGTCAGATTTTTCTCTGTGAGGTTATACGCAGTGAGAGCACATTTCTGACTTTATGCAATACATTATGCCGCTGAAGGAATCAATAAGGAAGAGGAAGTACATTGCGTTCCTGGGAGACGGCAAAGGCAAGCAAAACATGGAAAACTTGGCCAACAGTCCCACCAAAAACATTCTAAAAATATTTTTCAACGTAAACTTGTGGTATTTTTTGTTCTTGTGAACCAAATCACATCCTTTTACAGCATTGAACTATAACCTTAGCAGTCATGCTTTGGGGCTAAATGTATTACTGTAAATTTGCAGTGCACGTATTTATAGTGTTGTTTTTATATTTGTAAGCTGTGGAGGGACTTTAAGACTTTGAAGCAAAAGTAAACTTTTTCCAATCAGTCTTCTTAAAATGGTCCTGCTGTCTTTGAACTCTGCTTTCATGATACTGTACCTGAATTTCAGCTGCTGCCCTGCTTTTGCTGACCTTGTCATGAGCTCATTATAGCGTCTTTGTCTACTGAACGTTAACACGGCTGCCTGCGCCACATTGACCCTACATTTAACTGAAGGAATATAACTCCTTTTACTTGGTCTCTGTTCATAATAAGGCCATGTAAGCTCTTTTTATTAATGTTCACTGCCCCTTTGAATTATTAAAAATGAATTGACATTTTGAAGTACACGAATGTGTAAAAACCTGTGAAAGATTAACTAACATTCTAATTCAGAACTGCAGTGCACAGGTGAAGTGGTATAATAATACAATAATACTGATTTGATTAAAATGCATCCTGTTTTCCTGTGCCTTACATGAAGTGTACATTGAGAGATTCACTGCACAGAAGCCATTGTAATAACTGTTGTACTCTCATATTTAATGCAAGCTCTATAAACATTATTCGTACTCTCGCAGAACATGTATACATTTATATACATACACTCAACATGTATGCATCTATCTTTATGCCTGGCTCTTCAGTCCAACATGCCTTTAAGAGGTTAGGAATGCTGCGCTGCTGTCTTGCCTGAACGTGCGCACGTGTGCCACTCCAAGCATGTGATTAGACACTGGGGTCCATGCGTGATGAGTGTCAGCTGGTTGTGAGAGTTTGTCTTGTGGCTTCTGGAGAGCTTCTCAGTGACTGGGAGTCTTCTCGGCAGAGGTGATTATTTCTTGTGTTTTACACGCACTTGCGCATCTTAAAAATTACTATCTGTCTTCAGAGGTGTAGTTTTAGGTGAAGCCTGGAACTGAGAGATCGCTTAAGAACAGTAGGTGTTTTTTCAACTCTGTACCAAAGTTTTCTTTTAAGCCTGTGTTAAGGGATTTACAAAATAATTGTAACCAAGTATTTAATTTCCTTTCAAGATGGTATTAATCTCTTTCAGAAAATAGGCAGTTTAGAGTGACTTTTTTGCAATAGGCTGCTAGTTCTAATACGTTTCTTATTGCCACTGTTAAGATCTTAGTTCTGTTTATTTATAGTCTTACACATGGTGCTGTCTGTGTAAGGAGGGATTAGATGCAGCTGTTATCTGTCCATTGGGTGCCACTCCATCCAGAGTTCCTGTCTCTGTTAATGGTGTAGTCTCTTTAGTACACTGATTCCTGTCTTTTGTCTGCCAATATCAGCCAGGAAACTGAAGTACATCCGGAACACTTTTAAATTATGATGAATTATTAGTAGAGCTATCTTCCAGCTTGTTCTTCTGAGGTCACAAATACAGATTTCACACTTTCTACAAATTATTTTAAGGGAAAATGTCCGTGATTTTCTTCCGGACAGCACTTGGACTGTCTGTTTGAGGACACCTCATGTTTCCCAGACAGGCGTGTGGGGAAACAGTAGGCTATCCTCCGCAGGCTGTGCTTATTCTGAGTATGATACAAATTAACATGCTGGTATCATCTGCTTGTAAAAGGGTTTCTCTTCAGGCCCATTTAGTTTTATATTTCAGCTCCAAAACCAGGAGGATTTTATGTGTTACATTATCAGCTCCAGCCTTTTTGATGTTTTTAATTTCCTCATCCGAGGTTTTATTTTTATCTAGTGCCAGTTATTTTCCAGTACCACCGCATACTAAGTTACTCTGTTTCGTTTTCTTTCTTGTAAAATCTTTTTCTGCCTTTGTCAGTAAAGGACTTTTGCCAAAGCACTATATGTCCCAAGTAGAACACTAGGGAAGACTGGTAACCAGCTGTTTCTACAGGCAGTGCTATAGGACCTTTGTGTGATCCCAAAAGGGCTAAAGAGCCTCATAAAGTATTATTTTCCGTTATCCCTCTTTTAACTGATTATTTAAAAATAAAGTGTAGGCCTACAATTTCACAGCAAGAGTTATGTGATGTTTTGCCCATGCTAGTAAAAATTCCAGAAATGAGTGTATTCAGCTTGTTCTGTTTATTTTTTTTAGTTGCGAGAATTTAGATTTGTCCATCTTGACCTGAATCTAGGCAAAGGGACTGCAGTGTGAGGTCTGTGAAGCTAAAATCTTTCTCTCACACTTGTCACGCATTGCCAGTTGAGAATGGACATATCATTGAGATTTTTTACAGACTGCTGAAAATTAAAAGGGTCTTATCTGTCTTTATACAAGTTCTGGAAACAAAAAAAGTTTTCTAACTGGTTTCCATCTGGAAATATAAGGGGCTTACAGAAAATGTGTGTACAACTTTCGAGTAGGAGTTGTGCGTTAGCCATGTATTAATAATAGAGAAATGCAGTTTCTGTTCTAGTAAATGCCTAATTCATACTTTTTAAGTGAATCATGCAGGGTGTGTATTATTTGTGACAAAAGGTATAATTATCTAGTCAGCTTCTGTAAAGAGATTTTCTATCATGTAAGTGATAGTTTCCTCAATAATAGTAATGATATGTTTTAGTCTGTACACAGTTTTTAAAAAAATCACATCATTAAGTCAACAAATAAAGCCAAGAGGGCATTAAAATTGTTTCAAAGATATAGCAAAAAGACTTCTAAAGTGAGTTTTAAAAATTTCCTCAGCAGTCAAGAGTTTCTAATGGATTTGATAACTGACTTCATCAGCAAGGAAATTAATGTACCTCCATAAGAGTTTCATAATCCAGTTTAATACTATTTCACGCATCGCATAGACTTGGACCTCGTAACTGTCACAGATGTGAAGCTGAAGTGAATTGAATTTATTGGCATATGGCATACAGGTGACTATTTTAAAATGTTCTGAACGATTTTTATAGCAAATGTTCTGTGCAGTTTGTTTTTTTGACAAAAACGGGGAGTCACAGCTGGCCTCGGAGGTTGTGCAGAGGGTAGCCGACACTTGTGTGCTGTCTGTTAGGAGATCCTGGACACTTGGAGCTAATGACACAGGTCAGTAGGCTTTAAACTAGAGAATGAGTTTCAGCATACACTCGCAAGTGCAGGCTTTCAGAAGTGATAAAACATATGTAGAGGTTGAATAGATTAAAAAAAAATCGAAAAAAGAGTTGTTTCTCCGACAGGATGTTTTTAGTTGCTGTTTCTCAAAGCTCTGCAACAGCATCCCACAAGTTAATTCGGGAACTCGGAAACATTGGGTTTGTTAAGACCTTTTCATAAAGGAAATTGTAGGAATGTTTTACCTTCAGTATGCACCGTGACATCCAGTGACTTGGAAAGAACTGGCTGATCGCTGTCCTCTGTACTGAGATTTGAATGGGAGTACAGCAGCACTGGCTACAGGTGAATCTCGCTTGGCATTCCAGTTGTTCTCTTAAATGGCACAGATATGCTACTGCTACTTCCATTTATGTTCCATTATGAAGGGTCATACTGTTGAGTTAAGAAACTGGAATGTAGGTCTGTGATTTATATAACTTATGTAGTTTCTTCTATATAAGTAGAAAGACCGGTTTTGTACACTTCAGAGTGAAATCTCCTGCTGTTCTCATTATCAGTATCCTCATCAGTATAGATGAGTGAATCACTTTCAAAGATGGTCATGTCTACCTAGTCCATAACATTACCTCTACCATGCTTCAGGATTTGCTCAGGATGCAGAGAGATTTGGAAGAAAGTTTTATGGTTAGTTTATACCACGATAAACGGATGTTCCACTGACTGAGCACCATATCAGCTGTGAAGCATGCATTGCCAGCATATGTTTTTTTTATTTATTTTGAAATGGTATTTTAAAGGGTCATATTGTTAAGTCACTTCAGGGATTCATCTGCAAGTGCAATGCCAGCATGATCTGTTTGTGCTCTTCTTTATGTTCTTTATCTAGATTTCAATGAATGTAAAAAAAGTTTTGAAATATTCCGATCGGATGTTAAAATAGGATGACCTATCCTTACCTTGAATGTATGATTTTCTAATATGATTTGACAAAGTCCTTTGCCATTTAAGCATCTGCACGGTTGCAAACAAGTACGTATACCTCTGACAATAATAATAACGCGCTATATATCAAAGTTGTAAACAATGTAGAATAGTAGTTATGTAATTACAACACTAAAACCAAATTCTTAGGAATGTAGTCATTTTAGAGTTGATTTTATTCTACATGCAGTTTCAGCTTTCAACCTAGGGATGTCATTGTGTTCGAATAAATCATTTGTAAAAATGTAGCATCAAATTATATCACACCATAAGTAATGCATGAAGTAGGCTTATACAATGTTTTAAAATACTTTATTTAATTTGATTCTTTAGGTAACGAGGTGTTGAGCTTTCTGATTAGTAATTCTCTTGATTGCTTTATGTTTTCAAAGAATGTTATGAAATGAGCATTAGCCAATTTTGCTTCAAGCACAATTATTACGAAAGATAGTTGGGTGCTCTGACTTACTTTCAGCAACGGTGTTACCACTGAGACCTAAGGGATCTGACAGTTTCTCAAAAAGATTGTAGATCCGCCGTGTTTGTTGATAAACATGAGAATCTTTTCACGTGAGGCATTATCATACCGTATTTACGTGAATCACAGACAAATATGGGCTGCAAATGAGCGAGAAAGATGCATCAGTGATGTAGTGGCAAAGTGTTGAAGTTAACGGGTTGGAATTCTCTACATTTAGATAGATAGATAAGACTTTATTGATCCCGAAGGGAAATTGATGAAGAGTAACTGAATTAAATGATTTAATACCATGTCCCTATAGCCCACAACTCTCGTAAATGGAGTGCGAATATGTCCAAGCGTCCTTGACCAACAGTATTAACTGTATTAACTATATGAGTGTACCAAACAATACTGTCCACTACACGCCTGATTACCAGTTTAAAATGTGTTTTTAAACATATGTTTTATTGTTTCTATACAAGCCATGAACTAAAAACTGTCGTGTTTTCAAGTTCTCACAGGACAAAGGATAAGTGGAGACGAGATAGCGAAACAAGCGTCTGCTTTTATTATCCTATCGAAACCCCACAAAACCACAATGAGCATTTGCCACGAGCATTCTCCGAATCCTTGTAAGATCGGTGTTGCAAGGCCACCATGCCGACGCGCCCCCTCCGTTTCACCTGACTCCCCGTGATTTTGTTTTGCAGGTTCCTGGCTCGCTCTCTCATCAGGATGTCGGGCAGCACTCCTTCCCTGAACAGGCTGGAGCAGAGGGCGACCGAGGCCGACCAGCTCATCGAATACCTGAAGCAGCAGGTCCAGCTGCTCAAGGAGAAAGCTAGTAAGAAATGAGCTCCAGCTGTTGGCCGAGGAGCTAAGCAGCTTTGTGAAGCTTTGTGATTGCACCTTAACTTCAGGACGCCACCGTAGTTCAAGATTTAGAGTAGAACTTTGATGTGAACAGTTGTTGTTTTTTTTTTAATGGAAGCTGTCTTCTCTAATGTCACAACCAGTGAAAATAACGTATGTTTAGTTCACTGTTTTTAAACACTGACTGGTTTGAGACCAAAACTAAATGTTTTTTTTTACATATATGTGATATTTTAACTTGTATTAATATGTAGAAATGTGAGGTCATTTTACTCTGTTGTCAACATGATCAATGTTTTCTTAATGTTTCATATTTGAAAACGGTTATAACATCACTTTATTAACCCTTTACAATTTCTTGCATTAGGAATTGTCTTTTTGCATACCCCAGCTTGCTCTCCATGAGACACACAGACATAACTTAGGTTGCAAGTCATGAGCTGTGGAAAAATCCTGCTTTTGTGGTATAGCTCAGGAGGCCTTTGCATAAAAGCACTACAGAGACGCCTGTTTTATAAAGTCCAGAAAGTGCTTCTTACCTTTTTTGCTTTTAGATGTTTGAATCATAAAACATTTACCCAAAGACAACTACAAAATATTAAAATTGCTTTAGAGAATGTGGATGCCCCCACTCTTTAATTTTGCTACTGCTACTACCTGCTACTCCATAATTTCTCCCTGATTTATTCATTTTATACACAATGGACCCAACAATTATCCAATTGCACAATCAGTGATTATAGGTGAGACATGCTATTGGAAACTGTATCGCAAATCTTTAAAGTCGTGCTTTAGCGACCTCTAGTGGCAGGTTTCGGTAATGACACTCCTTTCATAGGACATCCTGGTATACTGCAACAACGGGATCGCATTTTAATGGGGGAACATATAGAGGAATGTAAGAGATCATCATGGCTTATTGATCTATTTTTAATCCAGTCTTGCAGGCCTCAATCCGGGAGGAGAAGAAACTTCGAGTGGAAAATGCGAAGTTAAAGAAAGATATTGAGGATCTGAAAAAACAACTGCTAGAAAAAGAAAAAAGGAAAGGAGGTAAATGCCCTGTATTCCTTAATCTAGTTTTTTGTTTCATAGAGTGTCTTTTCATTTTGTTTTTTGTACTCGTGTTAACCTAAGGACATTTTACAACAATGGCATAGAAATTAAAACCAAGCATCAAGTTTGAACAAAAATATATTTTGCTTGGATCTAAAAGTACAGGAGACAGATTAAAATACTTAATATTTCCACAAATTATACACTAGCCTATGGAATGTTTAAATAAGAGAAGTGAGATGTGTGAGCTTGAAGTAAGCAAATTAAACCATAAATGCCCAGTCCTGAATGTACAATAGTGTAACTGGAATACTGAAACAAACGTTCCACATAAGCCATAACAGATGTGCCATAAAAAGCAACTTTTTATTAAACATTTAATCACTACAAAGCAAAATTGATCGTCTGCCTTCTAATAAAAAATATAATGTTTTCCTGCTCCTGACAGCGCGTGGTGTTTTTTTGAAAAGTTGGGGTCCCTACTAGACACTTTTTCATTTTGTGCTCAGATAATTAAACTTAATTTCATGGAGAGACCATATGCCAGCAGTCTGTCTCATGACTGAGGTATGAAATTCAGTACAGCACCTAAAAATTAATGTACAAATGACCTGATAACACACTCTGATAAGATATCAGTAACATCAGCTGAAGAATTGTCTGATAGTTAGGTTACTTTTCAGTACTGTATTACAGAAAAGCATGTAAGCCTAGTTCCTTCTTATGTGGTTCACTTTTTCATGCAGGTAAAGCAATGCACCTCTGGAAATTTACTATCAACAACCTCAGATTATCAAATACGAAACAGTGTTGATCTGAGCAATCGTGGAGAATGTTACATTTAAGATTCTGAATATCTGCAGAAGCAAAATTTAAGCTGCATATATAGAAGTGAAGGTTCTAGTCTTGCTGTCATAGGTAAAAATTCAAATTAGGATGATTTTAAAAAAAAGCATATATAATATTTTAAACTAAAGACACAAAGTAATTCAAATGGAGTTTATTATTATTACTACTATTTTTTGAGCAGTGAGCATTATTATTTTTTTAAGCAATAATAGTATATGTATTATTATTGTTATTATTATTATTATTGAGCAGTGATTTTTCAAATCGTTACACGGTGGGCAGCAAGTATTTCTTTACACCTAACTGTGGTCTTTATTTAAATTTGGAATTTCTCTATATTTGTTCTAGTTAATCTGGCATTTTCAATGGATATAATGTAAAGTGCACTGGAAAAATTGCGAAGTCATCTTCCTTAATGTTCCCTTCAAGGGTCTTTTGTATTTTGATAGACTGCAAGTTCCGCAATACCTTACAGGAGAATTTATGCCCCCCTGAGTGAGTCATTATTGTGTTTAAAGCCAAGATGACCTTGGGTGTCTAACGCCCACTCTACTCCTGTGTCACAGACAATTGTACACTGCCACTTTGGGAATACTGGTTACAGGTTTTTTTTTTAAACAGGAAACGTACAGAGTTCCTAAAGAGGGAAATAAAGACTGCTCTTGTCATCATTCCATTTTAATGAAAACATGAAGAGGCATTTTGACTTTAAGTCAGGACACCCAGTGCCACATGTAGATTCGACAGTTTTCTTGACTTGTTTCCTTGTTGCCAGAAAAACAAAAATTCAGAACTGTTGGTTGAGTTTGTAATATTAGCATAAAGACAAGACACTTGGCTTTAAAATTTATGGTTTAATCTTGTCCTTTGAAAAGACAGGAATGTAATACAGTTTTTTAAAGAACTTCTAATAAGATAGTTTCACTGTTCATATGCAGTTGTACTTTCACACTGTGGCAGCATGTTAAAATTAATGTCCTTCTCGGTTTCATGAACAGAAAGATAAAGCTATTTAGGTCAACACCAATTGAGGCACTTGGGAAACATCCAGAAAGCTGTACTGTTAAACTCCTATTAACTGTTATTAAAGTAATTACACTTAGCATTATGCCAAGTTGTGGATGGAAGTTAGCTCTTCACCACCAGCCACAAATGTGCAGTTTTTGCCTTAGGGGGTTTGTTTTGCTCATTAAGTAGTTTTTGACACCGTGGCCTCTATGAGCACATTTTCGGTCATTGTTGAATTTAAACTGAGAATTAGTCCACTCATCTTTTAAAATTTGCATTTCTTAATTGCACTTTGAGGTTTTGAGAAGGTACATATGGGGAAATGTGGATAAAATGGAAAATCATTGAACATGTATGCAAGTTCTGCATAATTTATTCAAAATCTTATGTGGGTATTAAAAGAAAACTCTTTAATTTCTAAAACTAGTGTTTTCTAGAAAGTCTATAAAGTAGAATACATAGCGCATATGTATGTAAGAATGTGTTGTAAGTTTTTGTACATTTTTCTGTTTTTTGGATTAATATGAAGTAACCCAGAAAATATTACTGTCTGTAACATCAGGTGCACATTGTTCTTCAGTTGCCTGCAGTTAAGATACATTTGTTCAGTGAGCAAGCCAGGCAGTGTTGTAATTGTGAGAAAACCTGTTTTTATGTGGAATATTAACATGAAACTATTCTGAAAGCCTCCTACCGCAGTAGCATCGCTAAAATATAAAGGTAATAGCCACCGCTAAGAATGAAAGTAAGTGGTACAGATGATAGAATTCAGTTTGGGTAGACAAAATTGAAAGTCAAAGTCTTTTGTAACATTACAGCAGCATCTTGCTCATTAAATTAAGAAAATGTCTGAAAGCAAAATCCTGTTCACTAATGTCATTGTAAACATTAACAAGACAAAGTGGTGATAGAACGTTTTTTTTTTAATTATAGCTAGACAATTTCAATGGGAAAAGAGATTTTGAGGAGGCTTATTTTAATAGGTTTTCCACCTTTTTGTTTGTTTTATTCTTGAACTGTTTAAGTCTGGGGGCTGTGGTATTATTCAAGAGGTATATTGACCTTCTTTTTATGTTCTCTTTCATTCATGTGCATTATGGGGCTATTCTTCCCATTGCATCCATCAAAAGCAGTGTGCTGCCTTATCTGTTTGAATTATACCGTTAAGACAATTGAAAGGTCCGCGACAACAGAGCAGCCGCTGAAGCCCGGTATGGGAATCCTTTGGTGCCTGTAATTATCTTAGATTTTATAGATCTTAATGTGGATTGTTCTTTTTATGTAAAAGTTAGCACTGGGGGAATTTTCAGAGAATTGATTTCTGAGTTATGTGGCTAATAAAAGTTCATTTTAATAATAGGATGGGTAAACAACTTTTTTTTAGAGGGGAAACGAGTTCAAGTTCAAGAGGCAAAGGTCTTTTTTGTGAACAGAAACAAATGAATCGGGTTAATCGACATTCCTGCTTTTCTTGCTTTCCCATAGGTGTAATTTCCCCCCAGACAGGAAGAGCCACCAAATGAGGGAATCTGTAGCTTTTTATTTTCTTTCATTTCTCATTTATACGGTCTTTTTTCATTTGCCTGATTTTGACAAAGTTGTTTTCTTTTTAGTATTTCGGGATTTATGAAACAGATTTTCATGGAAATTGACATTTTTTCAATGGTTTTAGCACAGGGTGCCAGGCCTTTGCTCCTCTTGCTTTTTGTGTGCACTGTAACGTTTTAACCGTTTTGAATCTCCAGTCAAACAGGTGCCAATGCCCGCTGCAGATGCCTGCGTCCAGTCGTCTTCCCAGCCTCCTGTAGTGGCGGCTGCCAAGCCCGACACCTCCACTGCCCCTGCCCCAGCAGGCAGTAAACAGACCCCTCAGAAGGGCAACGGAGAGAAAACCAAGAAGGAGAAGCCAGAAAAGAGGGGTAATGACCGTGCCAATGAACAAGGAGAAAACAACAATATAATACTAATGATCATTACTATTAATTGATAATGTAGATGGTCATCATGTTCCTGGGTGATTACCGGTGCTTCCGTGTTAAAGTTTGGATTGTGTTTTGAACTTACAATTTGAAAATACAATTATGTGCAGAATGCCTCAATTTGGGTTAGACCGCTCACAAAGAGTTCCACATTTTTAATTTGACTGCATCCTTACCAGTTTGTAGCCTAATCCTGTCAGTGCTGAGCTCGATCAGTACGGTGCTTGGACAGTACTGTGGTGAGTGAACTCCAAGGAAAACCAGGTTGCTGTGGTTTAGGATGTTGGTGGATCCTTCTCTGTGGAGTGTCCAATCCAGTGCCTCAGTGTGGTGACTGTGGACGGTGTACTGTAGAAATTGTTAACCTTTTTATAAACCATTAAACTAAAGTTTAGGTTATGTGAGTACTTGGTCATTACAGATCCCATGGCACTGCTAGTTCAGGTTCCCTGGGTGGGGTTTGTTTGTTAGCTTTGTTAATCCCAGTTAAATAAAACTTGGGGTTTGGACAGTGTGGCTCATCTAAACTGCCCCAATAATCCAGTTTCTCACTCTTTCACATCCAGTAATCATTATTTAGGTGCATATTGTGCATTTTAAAAACCACAGGGAAACGATTTTTCCAAAATTCAGGTAACAAATTGGGAATCAAAATGAAGCGACAGGTAGCTCTTTTGAAATGGAATGTGAAAGCCATCTGATTTCGCGGTCACAGCCATGGTTGGAGTGAAATGGAGCTCCAGATGTGAGGAATCTCACACTTGGGTTAAAATTATTTTTTTATTTGAGCAGAAAAAAAAACCTTGAAAAAGCTTGACAGACTGTATATGTTGCCATGGGGCCATTCTCCTCAAATGCTTGACGCGTGTGGCTGTTTCAACAGTCGTATGTGATAGACCATCGTTGTCCAGAGTTGTTTGTTGTGTCGAGCAATGTTCTTTTTGCCTTCCTGCAGGAGAGAAGAAAGAGAAGACTCCAACAGCAGCGGCTGAGGAGTCCAGGCCAGTGGACGTCTCTCGCCTGGACTTGCGAGTTGGCAGGATTGTGACGGCTAAGAAGCACCCCGATGCCGACTCACTGTACGTGGAGGAGGTAGACGTGGGAGAAGCTGCCCCCAGGACTGTGGTCAGCGGCCTGGTGAAGCACGTGCCCTTAGAGCAGGTAAAACACTGCCAAGATGCCAACCAGGGAATTCTGGGACACATCCAGACTTTCATTACATGATGGAAGACATCTTGACATAAGTTAATGGGACTTTTTTGTGTTAAAAAATGCAGATACAATCCAGTTCTTATTAATATTAGCTACAATGATCAACCCATTAGGGGGTAGGTAAAGTTAGCTTTTATACAATTATTGTTTATGACAGTGGTCTATTAAATGAACAGCTAGTCACAGTCATCATTTTCTACCTTAATATTTACTGCATATCTTGCAAGTTTCTCACTTGCTGATGTGATTACTGGTAGAAATCAAATGTTTTTTATCTGAAAAACTTGCAGGATTATGCAAAGAATAATCAGTGGCAGAGATGAATCATTGACATCTACTATTTTCAAGTGCTGTTAAACACATTATTGATTGTTTTTAATATTCGGTCCTTATGAATGCTTGTGCCACTTTTCTTCCTGTATAGTTTCTTAGTTGGAGTTAGCCCTATTATGGATGACATGACAGCTCTGAATGTAATGAACGTTCTTCAGAGAAGCTCGGTTCTAAAGAGAAGTGATATACTTACATTTGGATTTGGTATACTGATCCACTAAAATATCAAAGGTGATTGTCTTTTAATACTATACTGGGCAGTGATACTAGTAATTATCATTGCAGTGTTACGGCTATAAAAAAATCAGATGTTAATCACAGCTTTGATTATACCCAAGCTCATAAAATCACTCTAAGATTGTTTTAACATGAAATCGCAACTGGAGAATAGTAGTGCCCTGCAAAGCTCTGTGCTCTTATATAATGTCTTTAGTTATTTTTTAGAATTCTCATACAAATTAAGATCACTACTAGAATACATACTGTATATAATTCATACTAAATATTTTTTCACAGGGATGTGTAGGAAAATGTATGTTATTGTGAACCGTCCTTAACATTACATTGTTTTAAAAACATGCTTTTGAAGGAGAGACTATATGCATTAATCAGTATTCCCATTTGTTTGTTTTTTAAATTATTGTTAGGTCAGCAAAAGCTTAAGAAATCTAAAATGTATGTCTGCAGTTCTTTCTTTAGATGCCAGGTATATTTACCACTAAGCAGTATAAGAAAAACAGTGAAAGGCTACCATACATGGGATGATGTTTTTTAAGTTTGTACAAAACGTTTGTAGTTGTAGTTCTCTATTCAAGTAACGGAATCTACAGTATCTGCGGTAGGTTTTAGTGGCATCATCTAACACTAAAGCTATTTGTATTTGAACTCTGGATTAATTAAATTTACCAAAATAATTAATATTTCTTCTAATTGCCTGTCCACTTGCTTAAATGGAAATGATGGTTTATATTGGAATAATATATTGCCCACAAAGCCAGCATTTTCTCCTATAGTTAACGTTTGCTTTTAGGTTTTGTGTTCATACCCAACGTTTAATGTTTTATGGGTTGTGTTTAGTACTGTTGGAAAATTAATGAAAATAATAAGAAACATTTGGTATTTGGAGATATTTCTTGCCAAATGTTTAAAACCACCAGATATGTTGCTATCAATGGCAAAAGAACACTCAGAAAAAAATAATTTATTCACCGATTCTCTATGAAAATCATATTTGGTCTCTAACATAAATTAGAGTGAGTGAAACTCAGCCTGTTGTTGAGCATAGCTTTAATTGCTCTCAAAACTTTTTCATTGCAAAAAGATTATGTACTCATTGAAATCTGTACTTTCTGGACAAAAGTCTCAGCTTAGAAAACATCTTTTAAGTATTTCCCCTAGCAGTTGCCTGATGAAGTTTTTTTTTTTCCTGCCTTAAACATAAGTTCTAAAATATTTGTTCCATGTGTGAATCCAGACAGGCGTCCAGACTATATTTCTTATCACATGAACTCTGTCTAACATATCGTAATAAAATAAAAAGTTCATGTTAAAGCAATTGCATCACTTCAAGGGGTTTATTCCTAGAGGGTGAAGTGTTTAGCTTCAAGTGAAACTGATCAGTTTAGGAATATGGTGGCAAAGTGGTCTCTTCTGCTTATCACTTTCCAATCCATTGGAGGGCAAAGTCACCATCCCAATAATTTCCAGGACTTAAATGGGATCACTTGAGTAGGATGTGCAGCTACTGAATTCCCAAGTGGATAGACTCATGGTGCTTCCTCTTTGAAATCAATACAACCCCCCCCCCTTCCCCTCTCCTGAAATGTAACAGCCTGATGTCAAGGCTGTTTACTTACTAACTAAGCCTCCCTGGGAGCCACAAGTTACGGGGGTCTGGCAGATCCCCCACGATCCTACAGGCCACCCCTTCTGCATTTTGTAGCAGATCAGGGAAGACCACACTGGGAGAAGACTGCGGTCTTTTTTCAGATGCATTGATATTCTCCCGGGAGCTGCTATCCCACAAACCACGGGTGTTCAAAATCTGTGCCTGTCGACTTGGACCACGCAGTGCACACAGTTTTGTAATGGTGGTTAGAAGATGGTTTCTGGGGCACAAACAAAGAAATAAGCAGGAGTCTGTCCACACCACTGCAGCTTTGCAAAAAAAAAAGAGTAGAAAAGTGTTTCTACCCATACAGGGGAGGCCTTTTGAATACAGTAGTTTGCTGAAGACTGTTAAGAAGCACACCCCGTGCTTGGCACTACTGGCACCACAATCTGTGTTTGGCATCTGTATGTATTTTTTTCATGCTTTACGTAAAAAATAAAGTAAAATAATTTTAGATTGTTTTCATAAAGTAACATGCAAACTCAGTTGACTGCTCTTTGACTTGGATCTTCTAAAACCAGCTATTATTTTAATAATACATTCTATGTATAAGAGCTCCTCATAAAAACTGCGGAAGTTAAAAAAAAATCTAATGTCATAAAACTAGGGCAGAGAAAAAATATAAATTAAAATTTACAGGAAAAAGACAAGCCCACAGTAAGAGATCCACGAAGCTCCACAGTTATGGAATTACACAGTAGATGGCTCTATTGCCCATTGTGTGGAGCCTGGTCACAGGTTTGAATAAGAACTGAATCAGCAGATCTTACATCAAGTGTTGGACTGCACTCAAGCAATAACTTGTTAAATTGTCCTGGAGCTAGAGCATACCATTCTTTATACTTCAGCAGAACCTTAAAATCCATTCTAAATTTCAAAGGGAGCCAAAGTAATTTACGCTGGACAGGAGATTTATGCTGTGGTAGTTTTAGTTAGCACATGAGCCACAGAATTCTGGACACAATAAAACATATTTATTAACTTAGTCAATAATCCAGTAAGTTGTTAGAATGATTTAATCACGATGAAAAAGAAAGTGAGTATAACCCCACTCTCGGTTACACAATTTACTGTAGCTTGAGAGTCTACTTTTAAATGTTTCATTTGCAAGTAAATGAAATGTGAATGTCATCACCATGATTATGAAAACCAAGACCATGGTAGTAAATAAGCAGGGAACATAGAGTGCCCTGCAAAGTTTACATTTTGTTGCCATCTGGCATCCAGTCGTGACACCTCCAAATTAAAAAAGCTAACAAATTAAGTGTAAAAAATGCAGATCAGTTTTTAAAGAAAAGTTGATGATGCATCAACCTCAAATTCAGGAGCAGTCCAATAAATTGAAGAGTCACAAAATTGGAGTAATGGTCTCTGTGTATAATCAGAGTTGTTTAACTTCCAAGTAGCACCCGTCTCTGCATGTTTCCTCAGATATTAATTTATAAGCTACAACTCGCGTAGTGATGTGACAAATCAACCATGAAAACCAAGGAGATTTTAAAACGAGTGAGGGATGAAGTGGTAAAGAGGCACAGATCAGGAGAAGGTAATGTATTCCTTGAAGTATGATGAAGTAAGTACACCAGCCCTCCGCTATCTTGATCAGGTTGCTCTCCAAAACTGAGCAGAAGGGCAAGCAGGAAACTTGATTAGGGTTGCCAATGTGACTTGGACTGATCTGTATAATTCCATCTCTGAAATGGGAATTGTACATATATCCCAGTACCCCACACAAACAAGTGTGGCCTAGGACAAGAAAGTAGACATGACAGAAATAGACTCCATTTTCAAATGGTTTGCTATTAGCCAAAAAGGCTAACGTAAAACAAATGTAGTAAAATGTCACAGTTGTCAATATCAAAAGCCACTGGCTTTAATGGCTTGATGAGTTTTTGAGAATGGGGCTGATAGTAGATCAATGAAGTAGAAAATTTCACTTCAAGGCCTCATTGATGAGGTTAGATAACAAATTTTAGTTAGTTTAAGGTAAATTGTCAGTGGGTCTGGTCTATTAAGATGGCCATTTCCAATGACTGTAGGCTAGAATGGTCCACGGCACAAGAAATAACCATAACCAGTGCCATTCATAGACCTAGTTATCTTTAGCTGACATGGTGAGTACAACCAAGCGGCTCAATTTACCTAAGAAATCAGCAGTAGCCTACCAATCAGGAGAATAAACGTATATAGAAATTGGAAGAAAGTAGAATATTTAAAGTAGTTAGACTAAGGCGTGTTGATAGTTCAAACTTGGAAACTTGGCAGTTTTCGGGCAATTGTGGATAGAGTCTTTTAACAAATGCCTTCAGATCTATAGGCTGCAGCAGCAACCACAACAGCTGGTTGTGTCTATTGGCCTTCTCGAGACTTTGTTCTTGCAGCATGAAGGCCAAATTTACCAGCAGAGGTTGAACTCGACATAAAACTGGTTACAAATGAAAGGAGGTCAATCAGACCCTCTAACTGACTTGGTTTGAGATCCCTTAAAATTTGAAACCATGCACTCAAAGGATGTAAAGGACCCACATTTAAATCAGCATCTACACAATGAATGACTGATAAAACACCAGCGTGGTTAGGCACTTGTGACCAAAACCAAATATTTACCTTGTTCGACAGCAAAAAAATATGTTCAGTAGGTGCTGAGTTTCACTTGGAAAAACAATGTATTTAATGATGGTTTATTATAGAAACTATTGTGTAGTTCTTTATGAAAGAAGGCTTT